TGACTGGTACATGTCCTGGCTGGGGGTCGCACCCGCAGCCTTTCAGTGTATGGGATGCTGCTGCGACCAACTGAGCCACCGGGCAAGGGCTGACAGCCAGGTTATTGTCTGATCACTTCCCAACCAGAATTTTACTGCCCTGAGCAAAAGCAATGAGTCACCAACCATCAATTCACGATTAAACCATGAGGGACTGGCCCTCCAACTTTCTCAACCAGAAGGGACGTGTGAACTTCCTCCCTTCCTACCCGCTGAGGTGCTTTCTTTCTTGCTTTGGTAAACAGGCAACTCCCTTCCTCTCTGCATGACTATGTCCCTTAAAATCAATTGTCACCTAAGCAACTTTTGCTTTAATTCCACTTGCCGCAGAGCAGGTGTGAAGGAGCCGAGGCTAGGTCCACATGATCCTATTGTAATCATGCTTTTCAGAGGGGCTGGCAGGTACAAGGCCCATGTCAGGTCAGGTCCAGGTCCTGGAGGCGTCTGTGCAAGCTCACAGGCAGCCTGGTCAGGAGACACGCTCAGCAGAGACCTGATGAGAATGCCCAGCCTTTTCTGTTGCGGGAATCTCCCCTAATCCTGAGGTACGTCGTTTGCTTCCCCCCCAAAACAGGAGAGGAAACGGAGTCTTTGGTTAAGCACATCACCTCAGCTTGCATACAAACTGAAATTTGAGTCCAGGGCTAATCTGGCCCCAAAACCCAGTCTTTCTGTTCCACAGAGCTTCCTCTTAGGAATCCAGACTCCTCAAGCACAGAGAAGGACGATGCTAGTGGGAAGAAACTACGTGTTTTTTTTTTCAGGCAAGAAAAATCGCGTCTGCAATAATCCAACTCCACTTGCTTTACAGGATTGTGGGGAGAAGAGCTGACTCGGAGCAAGCAGTTCCATTCTGTCCCAATTGTGTGCACACTGTTGACACAGCCCTGTGGAGACATGTCATGTGTGTAAAGACATGGAACTGGAAGAGCTCTCAGTAGGTCATAAAGCACTCGAGAAATGCTCATTAACTCCAGTAAGATCTGCTTTGTGTGCCTTTTCCTTTCCCTGCAAGAAGTGTGACTGACACACGGATCCTACCATCTGTAACTTTCCATCACATGTGTGCCAGGAGCTAGATCTCAAGAGGATGTGATGATGAGGAACTAATCGCTGGTCTGCTGAAACCCAAATCCCAGAACCTCAGGCTGTGAGAGGTAAATGGGCTGTCATGGGGCAGGTGTGTTGCACTGGAACCTCTGGAAACTGGAGCTGGAATGTTCATGTTCCCCAAACTCCAGCTGATGATGACGCGCCATACTGAACGACAGCCACAGCTCTGGAGAAGTCCTAAGAATCATTCAATCAAGGACTTGTCCCGGGAGATCCCATAGGATTGAGGAGATGCAAAACTCAAATCTTTCAGAAGTTTGTAACTCTCAATGAACTCACTCTACATAGATTTTAAAGATTCTGGATTTAGGAAGTGATAGTTCACTTATTTCATCACCACCTACGACATGCGGATCAGTGGCCACCAATGCTTGCTGGCAGTGAGGAACCGTCAGGTCCTCTCTCTCAATGAGTAGCACGTGGACTAAAGTTTTAGAGGCCAAGTACCACAGACTGCAAAGCCAAACCAAATCATTATGCAGGAATTCAAATGACCGAGACACTGAATTTGATATAAAAGGGATAATATATTTCCACACAAGTTATTTACAACTTACCCTATTCGGGACAAATGGGCTGCCCTCCAAATTTCTTCTGAGCTCTGAGCAAACTTTTGGCTTACTTGCTGATCTTGCTAGGCTTCTGTTAAGGCTAAAAGAAAAACAAAACTATAGTATGTTCTAACGATAACCTATGTCCCTTCTCATCTCACCAGAGCTAAAGTGTTGATTTCATTTTAAAAAACCACCACACAAAAGGCATGGGGAAGTAACCAGATGATTGTTTAACAGGCGCTGAGAGAGGGGGAAACAGCGTCTACAATCCTGTGAACCAGGAGTGTGTGATTTCCGTTTATTATAATCTTGGCTGTGAAGAGAGTAATACCGTCTTTTCTATTTAGCTAATGGACACTTTAATGGTTTTTGTGAATGAAAGCTAACCTGAAAATATCAAGAGAGTAAAGGTAAAACAAGCAATCAGGTAAAGGACCTATGGACAAAGCCAAAGGGGGGTAGGATTGAGGGTGGGGTGGGGGAGAGTGGTGGTAGGAAAATGGAGACAACTGTATTCAAACATTAGTTTTAAAAAATGATGAAAAATATACTACTAAAAAAACAAACATGTTGAGTTCAAGATAAACATGACCTTTTTAACTCTTGTAAAGTATAAAATAAGATTTTTGCTTTCTAAAAAAAAAAATCCTTGGAAGTTTTTACACTTTTGGGTTTTACACAACCCAAATAAGAGTACAAATCTCCAAAAGCAGGTCCTACCTATGGTAACCACTGATCCTTTGAAAAGCAGAAATGAATATAAATTATTTTCTTGAGGCTGGCTTTCCTGTATTTAATCTTGTCTGTAACCCTCACATAAATTACAGTGACAAGTTAATGCTGCACGTTCCCAGCTCGTCACATGCCAGTCTGTTCATCACAGGTCTGGAGTGGTTTGCCACATAAACAGTTTAGGGAGGCCAAAGTGGTTATAACATATCGTGAATCCAACTGATTTTCAAAAGGATGCATCCACAGGTTCACGTTTCCACATCTATAGAACTTTATTAACAATAAAACACATCAGCATATTTTATATATGGGCAAGGACATTCCTGTAATAGTAAATGGCACAACATCATCTAACTGTTGAACTTTGTCAAGATGAGGTTTTAAAATATAATACACTAATATTCCATATGACTGCTTGATTAAATAATAAGCAATTAAAATAACATGTAACAGCAGTTTAAAAATATAAAGCTCATTGTTTGCTATCTATCATAAGCTAGCATCACTCAAACACAACAATTTCTATCTTTAAAAAAAGATACTACGCACGTCCCACAGACCAAACAAATGATGCGGCCAGGAAAGGCTGTGACAGGGGTAACTCGCTCCTGCCCTGATAACCCCAGGCCCTTTTCTCAAAGGGCAGGCGGGTTAGGCAGTCGCTTCTCAGTCCAGTGCAGTTACACATATGGTGATCATGTAATTAATCCTCCAAATTAGGCAACTTGAGAGTGAGAAGATGCCCCGTTAGGCTGAGAAAATAAACAATCAAGACTGTTCTGAGCATGCTCAGGATACGTGTCAATCTACTGGAATACAGTGTCAGATGCAGTACCATTACTGTTGTGTTTTAGGGGGACAGTACAGATTACTTGGAAAAAATTAGGGAACCTTGAATTTTTCTGCAATTGAATTTTTTGGACTCCACTTTTACTGTCAGAAGAGGTTTTACTGGAAATATTAGTGGTTACTGTTTTAACAGGTAGAAAATCATGAACAATCTCAGAGGCATGGGGTATATTTTACAGACTCAAAGAGGGGGCTTAGTATTTTTTCTAGTAAACAAAGATGTTCATTTTTACTGAATATAGTAGATTTGTCTTTACTTTTACATTTCTGAAGTCTACCCTTACTTAACACAGAAAATATATTTTTATCTTAGCATCAGTTTATATAAACACGTAAAAATGGATTATCTGGCCATAACTAGCTTATTCAAATATAATAGAAATAATTTAATAAGCTTTTTTCCCCCATTAACTTCTAAGCCCAAGGTCACATTCATTCAAAAATTTAGATACCCTAACAAGGGCTTTGATTTTCAGTCTTTAAGGCAGAGTGCAAAGGTGGGCGTGTCCCCAAAAGACACCAGCAGCTGTTCTATCCAAGCTCACAAGAAATGAAGGGAAATTTGCAGGATCTGATAAATCTGAAAGAAGGTGTTAAGTTTTTAAAAATAATATTCCAATTCCCTGGCTTGGATGATGAGATTTAAGGCTACTCTTGAAATATACCAATTATAGAGAATTAGGTAACATATACACTTGAATCATACAGACTTGGAGGAACAAATGTCAAAACAAAAAGTGAAATTTTGATGTTGGACCAAAAGTGACATATCCATATTCAGAAACCAAGTATAAATAACACAAAAATTAAATGTAATTTTAATAAACTGATATTTAATACCTGATCTAATCATTTTAATTAGCATGCATATCTTCATTCAGTTAAAATTATTGAGAGAACATAATATAGGTCTACAGAAAATTAATATGAGATGAACAAGAGATCTAGTATGAGTTCACATTTCTTGTAAGTACATTCTAATTTTAATTAATTTCCAAGTCGGGCAACTAAATTAAGTATTTACTGTTTTCTTACTCATGCTATTGTTTCTACTTCAGGGGGTGCAACACGGGTACTTGAATCAACAATAAAACTCTATACAGGGGAGGAGACTACATAAGGGCAAACAAAAAATAGGAGGCACAATTAGCAAAAACAAAAATGTATGTTTTATTATGAAAGACAATGAAATAAATCAGAAAATACAGATAAATACAAAAGAAGCTATAAAGCATAATTTTTTTTCCAGCAATGGAAAAATGTCCCTGAATAGTTTTAGGTGTATCTTTTAGTAGTACTCCGTGTCTAATAATAAACAGTCAATTTTGTATGTTCTATTTAGCTGTATTAAATGATTTTTCAGTTTAAAAGATGAGAGATAATTCTGATTGTTTTTAATGTTGGCACTCAAAAGCAAAGACATTAACGGAAAAGAAAAGTAAACGAGACGTAAAATGATTTGCAAAATGTAGTAGCTTATGAACGAAACGTAGATTCCAGTTGTAGTGACGGTGGCACATACATTCTCGCAGCACGCAGACACACCCCAGGCCCCACGCTCCACAGACATTTCCGGAACTTGAAAACACACTTTGCATATCATGATATGATTTCTACAAGTCAGTCCTACAACCACAAAGCTAGAGCTATTAATAGCACAAGTTCTTATTTGCTAAATTTAACAAACTAAATATCTAAAACTTACTACGATGATACTGAAAAGATACTTTTATTGGCTTTTTAAAAGACAAATGCAAATGAGAATATCTTATTCAAAAAATTAATTTTCAAAACTGTCATAAATGAAATAAATACAACATCTAATACAGTCGCTTCCAGTCAGAATCTCTGAGACAGGCAAGGCTAGAAACCATGCTTCTCGTGTGAAGATCCCCGACGCCGGCATGTCCCTTAAAAATGTTTTTCTTATAAAGGATATGTGAAATACCCACATTTTCTTAAAATCTGTCCTAAAACAAACTATCTTTAACACCCAAATGTTCTGTATATATTAAGTTACTTATTTTAAAATTAATGAGAAGATATCTAGACACGATTTCTAGGAAAACAATGCAGAAAGTAATTTATTCATGGTTATTTACAGAAAGAGCTTTGCTAAATGACGATGTAAAATCATGTCCAAACATCAGACAAAGCTTTTCTAGCAATCAGCACTGCAGTTTCCGAAAAACTTTCCAACACAGGATGTTTCATGTGCAGTTACCAGATGAATCTCAAGAGGCAGGAACTACAGCGTTTGACATGGTTAATAACCTCAATTTTATTACACTAAAGGTCAGGTCAGAAGTCATGGCATTGACAGGCTAGAACACTGTTTATCACTCAACTCTTCCATTTATATTGAACACTGATCAACCAAATGTGAGTGGATTTCACTGCTGCAACTTCACGGTGTCTTTCAAGTATATGCAAGCCTTTTAGAGGGACACATATGCAAATGCAGGAACAAATGAAATATAAATATTTAAGAGAATGAACAGAAATGGCTTTTAGGCATAAACCACTCTGCCATTCAATTTTGAAGCTCTATCTTTTCTTAACTAATTTGTCTTCTGTTATTAGTAGTCTTCTATCCTATTAAAGTTGTAGGTTTACAAGATGATCTGGAAATTTCACATTGGTGTAAGAAAGGAATGTCTGGTTGATGTAGTCTAGAGACAAAAAAAGAATCAGTCTTAAAATGTATTCAGTTGCATTTATCTAAATGATAATACAATAAAAAGCTATTCTGTAGCAGTGTTATATCAAGCATACAATCTTATTTTAATAAAAATGCCAGAGTAGTATATATTAGAATATATCCTCCAGTTTAGGAGATCATATAGAAATAAGCAAATTATGAGCTTCCATAAAACTCATATAAGTTAAAAATAAAATTGAAGCAACCAAATCACAAACTATACAATTTTTAAAAAGAATATACTTAGTATGTGGCAACCTTGAAACACTGTACTCGTAGATACATCCTGCAGTGTTTCACCAGGTATTTTGCTGTTCCAATACTTGAAAAGTTCAAATCATTTATACATATGAAGAGTATGGGATTTGCTTTAACAATTAGGACATAAAGCAGAAATATGAGGTCTCTCTGTGTGAAGACACTGCTAGCTGCACAGTAAATAAATGATATTACTATATACAAAGCCTCCGGAAACTCACTGGATAACTACAAAGACAACCTCTGCTCATTTCTTTATATTTCCCTAAAATTTATTCAAGTTGTAGCCTTCACTGTTGATACAAACTGTCACACACTAAGAAAACAATAACAACTCCTATTTTTCCCTACAACTTTCATTCCTTGATCCAGTTTGTCAAGATCAGTGCACGGCAAATTGTTTTTCAATCACAGATTTATTTTTTCTCCTTTAAACTAGATGTCTATGAAGATTTCACATCGTTTTATGCAACATGCTCATCCCTTCTGTGTAAGGGCTTTGTCATGTTTTGTTTTAAAGTCTTCAAAGTTTGTGCTTGCGGTTACTTTGTATATACCATGTGGTCAAAGTTTCAGTTCACTAACGTATTTAAAAAATTTAAATTTATGAAACTCAATTTTACAAATCTAAGTTACCTTTAACAGTTCACAACTTATTAAATTTCAATAAACTGCTCACAGTATCAAATGTTAAATTTGCTCAATCTGAGTACACATTAAACATTTAATATGTATCTGGGGAATCTGAATAAAGGGAATAAAAAGAGTGATATATTAATATGGCTTACCTCTACAATAAGAAGAAATACCTTGTTCTATGAGCAGCTGCCATACTTTCAGACATGTTCCTGACTTTTAGGTAATTAACAAATCCTCTGAAGAAAAGGAGCAGGCCTGTGAAGGTTGAAATAATACAGATTTTGTTCTTACACAGCAAGGGGGATGATGTATTTCAGGTAGACAACTATAACCAGGATCCTCTTGCCTTAAGAAATTTATCTGTAGAATCCCACTTATTCCATAGTATATTTTATACTAAAATGATAACTCCATCATGAGGGAAGATGATAAAATTCTGCTGCCCCCTGAAAATTATTTATCAATCCTAGATATAACTAAAGTAAAAATTAAATCCAGCCATGAAAATCCAGAATGACACAAAAATATACATTAAATGATTTCTTCAAATAGCAAAGTTACCTAATCCACTTACACTGATTCAACTCCTAGAAATCCCGTTTTACCAAATTTTCAACTAAGATAGCCACGAAGCAAACTAACACATGTTTACTGTTAGAAATTAGTGTTCAAGACAGAGTGTGTGCAAGTTAAGGCTAACGACCGTGGGATAAACCCAGTAAGCCTGCCGAGCAGTATGGAGTGCCTGTCATCGGTAAAATCTGTGCTTGAAGATCCGTACATTCAGTAAATAGTTTTAGTTAGTAGTTCGTATTTCTACGTAATAGAAGACTAAATTATAATAAAAACTAAGAAGAATGAGGAAAGAAGACTGGGGAACAGCCACACAGTAATTCCTTAAATGGTCTGGGATATATCTCATATCTATCTCAGTGCTCTCCTCAGTACAACAGTGTTTGGAACTAACAGCCATTTATATCACGGGTATCTTTAATAATTATTAGCTAAGTATAAAAAGCAGTAACATTATTAGTAGAATTAAGTCTTGGACATACTTAGGCATACAATTCTAAGGAAAACATTTATTAACTCCAGTAAAGTTTTTAACCAGATAACTGTGGGGGCAAAAACCAAACCAGGAGATACATATGCTCGCAACCTTCCTCACCAGGAGGAAGCGGCTGCAGGTCTAAGATGCAGAGTCCCAAAGGAATCGCAGCACTAAAACACGGGAAGACAGAAGAGCTATACAAACAGTGACTTAAATAAGTGGTACGAATTTCCCCGAAATCTGATGCCATCTGCTTCCCAACTCCTTCCTTTAGTGTCTCTCACTCTGAATTCCACCCCACGTCCTTCCAGGTGCTGTTCAAAGATAATGGACATTGTGATCCAAATATAAAACCATTATTGAACCATATAAACCAAAATGACTTGTAAAATCCCTTCTTTTGTCTATGAAGCTGCTGTTTCTAAGACATATTTCGTTCTGCTCAGACATTTTCTAAAATAAGTCAATCTGTATCTAGAAACCAATCACTCAGCAGCTATTATTTCTGAATTTTACAATGTGCTCGACATTCCTGAGTATACGTGAGGGACACTTTTACATGGGTCACACTTCCACACTCCCGAGAGCTCGGCTGTGGCTCTGACATGAACCCGGCACTGTCCTCTACATTCCACTGTGCCCCACAGTTGCCTTCCTACGCTTCCTCAATCTCTAAATACTATACGTAAGCAAATGTACTCCATTAACATGCTTAACTACCTAATAAGCTTTATGTTTTTTTCACTTTTAAGAAACTCAACTAAAAAACACGGAATTCAGGCAGTCAGAATATAACTAACAATATAAAAAACTGGCTGAACCCTGTATAAGCCTTACTCCCCAACAGAATCACACTAGAACTTCACTATAATTATTAGAGAAAGAATTCAGAATCTTCAGTGACCTTAACTGGTGACCCTAACTGACCGAATTTGTGTCTCGAAAGATCCTAGAGGTCCAACAGCAGGACAGAATGCAAACTCAAGAGAAGACTGCCACCTACTGAAATGCTGTTCTTTCTTGGTACAATTATGCCACTAGAAAAATGGGGGCTCTTAAAACTATGTAGAAAAAAAATGTATACTTTGTCAGTAAATAAATCTGAAATGTGGGTTAAGGGTATGAAGTGGTTTTAACATTAACTTAATTGTCATATATCTATAGTAAAAAACACAAGAAAACAAGAGCTGAATATCCAAAATTAATATTCATTAATATTAATAAAAAGACATTCCTTGTAAGAAGGCAATGACAGAAGTCCAGTGACCATTAGGCATAAAGCCTTTCCTTATGCTTAGCAGATTAATGATTAATGCAGGGCATATTTCAAAGGTATAAAAAATGTTTCCATAACTCAAAAATAACAGAATGACTAGAACATCAGATTATCCTACTTTCAACATTTTCTAAAATCATTAAAAGAAATTAGGTATGGATATTTTCAGGATAAGTAATACAGATAATTATTTTTTTAATCATATTAAGATTTTTAGGTTTTGTAGTATTCAATTCTCATTAAACCAGTGACTGCTTAAATTAATGGCTCTGGACTTTCAACCTGAGACACCTGGAGTACTATGCAGAATGACAAATAGCTGAGATGAAAACGTAAGTGTTTAGATATGAGAACTTTACAACAGAGTATTTATTTTCACATAAGGTGTAACACAATGTATTTACTACTTATAATTTTAGGAAATACCAAAGTTAAACTAAATGCAAATTAATCAAAGTGAAATGCATAAAGAATAAACTTACCAAGTACAAGAAATATCCACCAAAGCCAATACTGTCCATTGAAATAGCCAGTGAAATAATCAGAAAACTATGGAATGAACACAAATATATTAATCATATCTGTGTATCTCAATTTAAAAACTGTAGATTAGCATCGGTTTCACAATAATCTACCTCAAATAATGTTTAGCACTTAAAAACAGCACAAAAAGAATAAATAGAAAAGGAAAAAATACTTCATGACATACATATAAAATTATTTGAGGAAAAACCTTTTATACATAATATACAAAATATTTTGGAAACAGAATTCACTTTCTACCTGCTTGTACGAAAAAAAGGGAAATGCTATATATATATATATTTCTGTAAGCCCAACACTTTCTCGTAACAAGTTCACGTCAGTTCTTTTCTCATAACCTCTCAAAGCCATGACCACCACTCCACATACACTGCAGCGACTGGAGGTACGAACACCAAAAGCCAGGTTAGTTCAATCTTATCAGATGGGTTTGTTCAGCTAAACCTCCAAAAGAAGAGCTTTTGACCTTCTGTACACCCTCTACTGTTAGTCACTGCCAAGAACACTAGGCACATAAAGACCCCAACTCATTAGTGCCTTTTTATTTCCAAACTGATGCTCTAGTATTCAGTCCCCAGCCATGTGCTGAGAGCAGCTGAATGAGCCCTGCTGCGGCCCTTCGACAGTTCTCATCTGCGGCCGAGGTAGGCAGGTCCGTCCTCTGTGAAGTAAGGGTGGGAACAAGCAGATGGGAGGCAGGGAAGGCTGGACGCGACTGGACACAGGCACTTCTCCTTGATAGGCTCTAGTCCTCAAGATTTATTATTTTACAGTTTTTTAAAAAATCAATCTAATTTTCTTCAGAGGTATGTAAGATGATTCTTCCCTATTATCCTTTAGCATTAAAACAATGCTTCAAATAATGTTTTTTGAAATGTTTACTATAAAATCTACTTTAAAACTGCTAAAATTTGGCTTGCTTTATCTACTGCTTTCACTGGTCTCCAAACTGAGTCTGAGTTAATGACAAATGATTTTGTTCAATGCAGATTTGTCCTCAAAACTGAAATGAATTAAAAGTATCCATTTCCAACTTTATAGGTCATTACCTCCAACTATTCAATGGTAATTTCCATAAAAGCCTAAAAATCCTACAGCTTTTTTAGTATCAAAAAAGCTAATGAATTGTAAATGATGATACTATTGAGGAAAGATATCTATGAAACATTATCTAAATCTGCTTTTTAAAGCCTTTTAATTATTTTAACCAGAAGTATTTATAATTTATAAATGAACCATAGTATAAATTCTCACAGTTTTAGCCAAAGCTTAAAAATTTTCTAGTACCATTAAAGATGCAAATTGGGCCTGGCTGGTATAGCTCAGTGGATTGAGCACGGGCCTGCAAAGCAAAGGGTCACAGGTTCGATTCCCAGTTGGGGCATATGCCTGGGTTGCAGGCCAGATCCCCAGTAGGGGGCATGTGAGAGGCAACCACACATTGATGTTTCTCATCCTCTTTCTCCTTCCCTTCCCTTCTCTCTAAAAATAAAGTAAATAAAATCTTTAAAAAAATAATAAAGTGTTTGGGAGCATCCACTGGTGAGTTGTATTTTTTTAAAAAATGCAAATCGCTCATATGCCAACATCTATAAATTTGTACAATGAAGGGAGAGCTAGGAAATTAGGAAAATATAGCTTGTAAAGTAGTAAGTACTGAACTATACTACTTTTACTCAAGAGATTAATAATTAGAAATAAAAGGTTTTCATATAGGTTTTACAGACTATAAAACAAAAAGAAATAAAGAGCAAAGCAATACATTTTCAACTTTTTAATTTTAAAACATTTAATATACAATGTTACATGGCAAGAGGCAACAATGTAACATTATACATTAAATGGTTTAAAATTAGACAGTTAAAAAGGTATTTATTGTTTGGGTTCTTCATTCTTCATCCAATATATTTACCTAAAGTCATTCTCGATTTACTTCCAAGTAACAAATATAATTACCTTTGCCCTGAAGTCAAAAAGAAAGACTCATTATGTAAAAAAGATAAATAAGGTTCTAGTCATTACTGAGTTATCAAAAATGTTTTAAAATACTAAAAATTATAGGGCTGAGTCACGTTATTGTTTCAAAAAAGAAATAAGTGAATCAATCAGAAATCAAGGTGTAGAAAAAAATAAGTGAACTAACAAAAATTTATCCGATTTTACTTTATTAATATAACACCAGTATTTTATTATTTACCTCCTGTCAATTTTCAAAAAGACTTTTAATAAAACACATATGCATTTTAAAAGAAACAATAAAAACATCAAAGCCTTAGGGAGAAATACTATCAGAATCTTAGGCTAAAGATATTCACACTAAATCTGAGGTTCATGGCAACTCAAACAAAAAAGAAAGCAGCAATATGATTTATAATTTCTTACTGTCTAATAAAGGAAACAGCCAGGCTTTCCGGAAGAAACCTCTCTCTCAGTACTGACCTCCAAGGAAGATTTACTGTGTGGAGCATTCTAATGGAGGTCAAAGTACAGAGACAGCGCAGAGTTAGGAGAACCAGCACTGAACTGAGAACAAGCTAGAACACAGCACTCGTGTCCCTCCACAACCACAACAAAATTACAACTCAAAGACAGAACAGCCACCATTCAGAACCACCTGAAATTACACAGAATCCTACAATCAAGGATATAAAAAAGAAGCCACACTACTGACACTGGTAGGTGTGCAGGAGAGATGAACAGGCTTTCCCCACACCTTCTGAGATATCTGAAGGGCTACCTCAACTGCAGAAGTCCTCCCTGAGAAGTGAGGGGTCCGTCCCCGCCCCCTGCCCAGGGTTCCAGTACCAGGAAAAGTTCCCGTAATTTCAGGCTGTAAAAACCAGTGGAGACTGAAGGCGGAGGGAAATGGGGGCGGGGGGGAGGCTGCTGGAGTACCTGGCAATTCCTCTTAAGGGGCTTGCACACAGACTGACGTGCACTCACTCCCTCTGAGCTCCAGCACTGGGGCAGCAGCTTGAAAGGCACCAGGGACACACTGGGAAAAACTGAACTGTCTGGCATTAGGATGAGAGCTGGAGGGGCTGCTTTCTCCCAGACAGAAGTGCTGGCAGAGGCCACCATTCCCTTTCCGAGCCTTTCTCCTACGGAGCTGGCATCGAGATGCCATATCTAGGACTCCATCAAAACTTTGAGAAATTCCAGTCTTTAAATTTAAGTTCCCCATCTTATCACATTAAGTGCAGTTGATTATTAGACAGTCTAACCTAGGGTTCTATGAGAGAATCAGGATCTAATGCTTCACAGCATGGACTGAATATAATGGACTAGTTTCTTTTATATGAATCTACCTTAGGAGAAATTGAGAAAACAGTCTTCAAATTATTTTCTGAGTTCTCTAACTTAGATGAGAAACACCATTTGAGTAACGGTAACTGAATTTATTACTGATATCACCAAGGTTGGACTTAGCTCCAAATATTTTGGGGTTTTTTCCCTAACTTCTGCAAGGAAAGAGATTCTCTCTTTATCTCTGAATGCTCCATAACACCTATCAGATTTATGCTTATGGTTGGAACACACTTTACATTTTTTAAAAATAAATTTAGAATGAGAACCTCTCAGCAATTTTTACAATGGCTTGAATTTTAATCATCCTCAAAGAAGCCAATCCATAGGTCCCAGCCAAGAACCAACTGATTAATAACCCAAACCTATGATAAGATTACTGAAACCCTGAAGTGATAAAATAAGTTTTAAAATAATGAAGAAACATATTTACAGAATTTATAGAAACATATTTATAGAAATAGCAGACTACTACTCAGCTGTAAGATGAGATGAAACACCGCCATTTGGGACAACATGGATGGATCTTGAGAATATCAAGCCAAACAAAATAAGTCAGAAAAAGCTAAGAACCATTTGATTCCACTCAGATATGGGATATAAAGCTGAAACTCACAGACAACAGTATGGTAGTTACCAGAAGGAAGGGGATGGAGGGTGGTAAAGGGGCCAAATACAGGGCGACAGCAGGGGATTTGCCTTTGGGTGACGGGCACACAAAGCAGTACACGGTGCACATATCACGGAAACGTACATTTGAAACTACGTGATCTTACTAACCAGTGTCACCCCAATAAATTTAATTTAAAAAAACACATTAAGTATTCTTGTAATGAGTAATGTTTTAATCAATTAGATAATATAGGTGCATAATTGAAGTATCTCAACCACTAAAGAGAAGCTGACATATTAGGTTTGTGATTCTACTGAAAATCTGAGGATCTGACATTCAATTAGAAATCAATGTTTAAATAAATGTGATTAATAGGAAGTATGTATTTTGTTAATTGTACAATGTAGCATTAAAATGTGTGGGTAACTTTTTAAAAGACTTATTGAAACAATAAAGGCACTTTTAATCATTCTCCTAGGCCTTATCCTAGGGAAATTAGGGATAAAGCTTTATAAAAAGTCAAAAACGGCCTTCCAGAGGCAAAGGGCAAGAGCGGGGGGAGACTATTATGCTACTAATAGTACCGGAAAAATTCCTGAGATAGGAGGAAAAAGGCCTCGTCCTGGTGTCTCCTTGCACAACCGTGTACATACGCGGTGGACAGAGGTGACACCCAGGATGACAGGAGAACGAGAAGGCTCAGAAGGACAGAAAGGGAAGAGGGGCTCTGACAGCCACCAAGGGCCCACACTTCACTTCTGAGCTCCTATGTCACAGACCGTGATAACTTTACTGAGCAATGGGAATTTTCATGTTTAACTGATGTGGAAAGGCCCGCGCTTGACAACAACAGTGGCAGCTATGACTTCCCGCGCACGTGTGTCCAGGTGTGCTGCAACTAGGCATGGTACCTTAATCATGTTATTTCCATACCTCACAAACATCTTCAAAGGCAGCTCTTATCAGCTTATTATGAAGGTACTAATGCTCAGAAGAACTTAAAAACAAAGTTAGAACACTGATATAAAAAAGATGAGATCCGGAAAAGTTTTCTGCTTTCAAAGCTCTTTCCACATACATGGAAAGTCCCCCTCACCGTCAGGGAACATGCCTGAAATGGTGGGTAGTGCTGAACCCTATGTGCAGGGTCCGGCAGATGTAAAGCCTGCTTGAGTGTGGCTGGCAGGGTAATAATAGGAGTGCAATAATTTATAGTTCTAATTCGAACATTTCACTTAAAATGTCTTCCGGTGTGCTTGAGTGTGATACTGTCATGTTACAGAATTACAGGCTTATGATTTTATAATAAAAGATTTTGTAATAAAAAGGGGCATTATTTGTACTGGACCCTGTATACTATGTTTTTTCCTAAATACCAACCTATGATAAAGTTTAATTTATAAATTAGGCACAGTAAGAGATAACAATAAAATAGAACGATCATTAACAATAAAAGTTATGTGAATGTTTCTGTCTCTCTCTCAGAGAATCTGAAATTTCCAACAGAGTATTTTCGGACCATGACTGGCCACAGGTAACACCAACTGCAGAAAACAAAACTGCAGATAAGGGGGGACTATCGTCCTAACGAGCTCTCATATAAACACAGTTACAAATGCTCACACCAGAGATCACTCAAGTAATTAAGTCCAGAAGTTAAGGAAAAGTCTCGAAATAACTGAATTCATATGCATAAAATGAACATCCATGAACCCACAGGAAACTTCATATATTTTAATTTTAAAGATAAAAGTGAGAGAGGTTATCAGGACACTCACCCTGACGATAAGGATCCATTTGATCAATGAAAGGCCAAAGCCACAGATGGCACCATACCTTCCAGCTATGGTATTGGTGATGCAGAAGGATAAACAAAATCCGAGCCAGTTGAAAATAAATGCCACTAAAAGCAAGAGAAACAATTATGTTTAAAAAACCATACTTCGGAAACAAATTAACAGAGACTTGATATTAATAATTCTTCACTGTGCCCTGGATGGGGTGGCTCAGTGGACTGAGTGCTGGCCTGTGAACCAGAGGGTCGCTGGTTTGATTCCCAGTCAGGTCATATGCCTGGGTTGTGGGCTGGGGCCCCAGTTGGGGGCCTGTGAGAGGCAACCACACACTGATGTTTCTCTCCTTCCCTTCCTCTGTCTATTTTCCTTTTCTTTTTTGACTCTGGACCAATGAAGCCTTTTTTACAAACTATAGTTTACCTTCTGCAAATATAAGTCATTACTAGACATAAACAAATGTGTACACTTGCTTTCTTGTCAGCTTCATCGGTAGGAAACAATTCCTTAAAGCTCATCCCCAATGGGTGGAACATTTTTTAAACCAGTTAAAAACCAGGTCACAATGCAGCCTCCATGTGATCCCACCCAAGAAGCCCAGCCTCGGCCAGTCAACCAATCTGCCAATATTAGTAATGAGCCAAATGAATTACAAAGGGAATTCCCAGATCAGACATGGTTCACTGCCTCTTCCTCCTCTTTAACAAAATCCACCCCTACAAACTCTACAGGGGAGGCTGGATCCCATACTAAAGCCCCAAAAGGTCCCAAGTAGTCCGGGGAAAATCTCAGGGGGTCGAAATTCCTTTCCTGTGATTTTTAAAAACAGGACCTCTCAAAAACATTCCTTGATTCTTAAAAACAGAGCGAAACACACCAAAGGGAGGGAGGATGCAATACAGGTTAAGTAATTAACGGTGGCTCTAAGGTGATCACTGTTGAAGCTGTGAAATGGCTACGTGGAAGAATTTATTATACTAGTAACCTACTTTTAGGTAAAAACAAAAGAAGAAACGGTCCCTCCTCTTCCTCTGGATGTTTGGACGTAATACCGAGAACTGCTGCGGGAATCCTGCCGTCAGCCCGAGGGAGGAACCCTGTCTCCAAGGGGCAGAGCGAAGAAAAGCACAGGAGCGCAGAGCCACAGACTGACACTCTCGGGGCCTTCAGACGCTCATTCAGGCAGGACTTACCTTGTGAGACAATCTCCTAACTATTTAAAAACGGTTGTAGTAATGGGTTTCTACTACGTGTAGCTGAAACCACACTGACGTAGGTCCCTGAGATATAATCAGAATGCCCTACCTGTGTCCAACATATCAGCACTGTCAATATAATAACAATGATGATAGTAATAAAGCTTCTAAAGATTTGAGCCTAGGTTTGGGTCTGTTCAGTGCCCATCCTCTTCCCCTACATATCTCCAAACGACACAAAGTAAATTCCCTACAGAAATTTTTATGTTTCAGAATTCTGCAGCTAAAGGAAGCATTGTAGGATAAGTTTAAATGGAAGAGCTACTTCTTTAAAAGTTCCCCTATTCTAGTAATTTCTCCCTTCCTCATGCCTTCTGAAAAGTCTCAGCTTTCTTGATCACTTGTGGGAAGCTGAATTTAAACATAGAGTAAGTTTTAAAATAAGAGACTTGTGTTTGAGGGGCACTGTACTCACTCACTGCCATGTGACCTTGGGCTCACTGCTGACTTCCCTGAGTTCTCTGACCTGTAAGTACTCCCTTTACCAAGTCAGTAAGAGGATTAAGTGAGACAATGAATAGAAAGAGCTTAGCACAGGACAGAACCTAGCACGTGGTAATTAAGTGTTAGCTATCATTACTACCCACACAAAATTATCTCTTTACCTTACAGAGTAGGTCCTATCTTTTCTGTACCAAAAAAATCACAAGATACATTATTGGAAATAATGTTTAACTTCCTACTTTTTTCTTTTTTCGAACCCACATTCCGATCGGTATTTCCCTGTTCTCTGTATCTGTGCTACCCAACGCCACTGCGTACCCTGCCTCTTCTTCGTGCTCCAGGAACTCATCCTTCTCTATAGAGGAGGTCACTGAAATTTAAATTAATTGAAACCCAATAAAATGAAGAACGTAGTTCCTCCATCACAGCACCTCCATGTGAAGTGTTCAAGAGTCACACGTGGCCTGTAGCTGTCGCAGTACTGGTCTGCGAGATTCAGAATATTCCCACCAGCACAGAACATTACATTAGACGTAACTGCTCCATATCTAATTGGCTAATATCTTTTTAGCTGTGGGAGAAAACAAAACACTTAGCCAATCAAAAACTAATTTTATATCTACTTAAAATACAGAATTCACACCGATGTAGAGCAGCAGAGAGAGATCCCCCACTGGTATGCCACATGTGTGTCAGTGACGGGCGGAGATGTTTCTCTCCTCAGACCGCAGGGTGGGCGGGCAGGCGCGGTCTGGGGCAGAGCAGAGGCTGTCACCAGCCCTGAGCACCTTCTGCCCTTACCGCCGTGTGCTGTGAGCGGGCTATCATTCCGTAAGTATGCCAAGTTGTTAAACACAGGAGGCTCTGATGAAGAAAATCCAAAACAGCAAAATATTCCAAGAGCACATTTTTACCTTTGAGCATATATCCAAGCAATGTCCAATTAATTTCTTCCAATCTATTACACCTACCACTGCACCCACACTAGGAATAAAACCCAAAAGAACACTAAAATATTCACTGAGCCATCACGTCTCCTTCTTGCTCTACCAGTGGTATGGGTTCCTGTAAGCTGTGCTCAGGTGCTACAACTTGGTATGGACTGAACTGTGCCCCTTCCAAATGTATAGATTGTAGCCCTAACCCCCAGTGTGATTCCATTTAGACAAAGGAGCTTCAGGGAGGAAATTACGATTAAATGAGGTTATAAGAGTAGAGCAGGGGTGTCAAACTCATTTTCACTGGGGCTGATGGGGCCACATCAGCCTCTCAGTTGCCTTCAAAGGGCTGAATGTAATTTTAGGACTGTGTAAATATAACTGCTCCTTAACTAGGGGCAAGGAGCTCAGTGCTGCCCTGGGGTAGATGCCAGGCCACATAAAACAGAGAGGAGGGCCAGATTTGGCCTGAGGACCTTGTGTTTGGCAGGTGTGGGGCAGAGCCCTAATCTGATAATCTAATAGGCTTGGTGTCCACAAAGGACGATGAAAGAGACACTAGAGAGGTCTCTCTCCACAAATGTGGAGAGGACAGGCCACGTGAGGACACATCAAGAACGCAGCCATCTACAAACCAGAAAGAGAACCTCTGCCAGAAACCAAATTTTCTGGAACCCTTATCTTGAACTTCTTCTACCCTCCAAAACTCAGAGAAAATCAATTTCCATTTGTAAGCCAGACATTCTTCAGTACTTTGCTATGACAGACCAAACAGACAAAATACATAACCATCTTTAATTGGTTTAAGCACTAACAAAACAGTGAAGCTGGTGATCACTTCAGCATAGGTGAATTCACATTTTATGTCCCTTAACTTACAAGACAGAAAGTAAAGCTGGGCAGATCTTGAAGAGTAGAATTATTTCTGGATTCAATTTTGGACCCCCCATGACATGTCAGAGTTGGCAAAAAAGAAAACTGAGTAAGTGTACACTAATCTGTAAATCTGAACTGTGTGTAGAAGAAACGTGTAGCAGAGGCAGGGAAACATATGCCCAGGGAAGAAGACAATACTCTCCTTTCAACCCTACTTCATTCGTGCTATGTTCCCCTAGACACCTGGGGTAAATAAGGAAGCTTAAAAAATACAGGGCACCTATTTCCCATACAGGAAGGCCCAAGATGACACCCAGAAGCAACAAGCGTACACAGCCTCTATTCCCCAGGTAAGATTTGGGGAAGCAAGCAGCTGGGAAGCTAGGCATCAACTCAGAAAAGTCGGTAAAGCAAGCTTAGCTTTACTCCCCTTCCACTTCTGCACATTCCCCTTCAGAGTACTCTTCTTTGTAAGAAAGCAAATCAGGCAGGTTCGGACAGATTCATGCATTTGAAAGAAGGCTGCCAATCATTTAAAATCACATTACTTATTATAACTAAAAGGTGAATTCTTGGGTAAGGATGAGGAAGTAAAACACTACCACCACCTTCACTCAACAGAACTCTATACTTTGTTTTCATGTATATTCACTCATTTGTTCCTCACATTAGCTTTTTAAGAAGGGCAAGGTCAAATTAATTTCACGGTACACAAGAACCAGTTGAGAATTAACAGTTAAGCTGCACATAAAGTCATAAAGCAAGTAAGGTACAGTCAGGATCGAAGCATCCCAGTCTTTCACCCATCTGTACCTCCCACCTACCCACAATGGTTAGCAGGATAGCCTAGAAAGTAAAATTTGTACACTATAGTTTACCCCTTACATAGACAGGTTGTATGTTTAAATTTTCAGTAGCTACAAGATACTTATTAATTAAAAGGGGGGAAACAGCCCTGGCCAGTGTAGCTCAGTTAGAGCATTATCCTGAACAGTGAAAGGTCACAGGTTCAATTCCTGGTCAGGGCACATGCCTCGGTTGCAGGTTTGGTCCCCAGTCAGGGCCCGTATGAAAGGGAACCAAATGATGTTTCTCTTTCACATCGATGTCTTTCTCTCTCCTTCTCTCTCTCTCCCTCCCTTCCTCTCTGAAATCAATAAGTGTGTCCTGAAGTGAAGATAAAAAATAAAAAATGAGGAGGAAAAAAGTAACTTTAGAGTGGAGAGAGCTCGCGGCGCTCCCTGATACCATGCACTGAGAAGGGCGTTCGTTAGTGAGACAGTTGGCAAAAAATGAAGAGGATCAGTGAACCGGTTAGTGTTTCATTAACATTAATTTCCAAATGTTGATTATTGGACTGAGTTACATAAAATGTTGAGACTTGGAAAAGCTGGATAAAGTCATATGGAAGCTGTATTATTTTTACCACTTTTTCCTAAGTTTTAAAGTATTTTAAAATAACTTCAAAAATCTTGATATTTGTTTTGAAAACAAATGAAAATTATAGATGAGAAATATGCATATAATACAAACACCGAGAACTCATTTTTTAATCACAAAAAAATTCTCATTACATGTAAATGCACCAGGTTTCTAGGACAGTAAGTTCTCAAAAGAAAGATCAATTTCCCCATACTTAATTCTGAGCTACATAGGGATTGTAAATCTCTGTCTTATTCTTAGGCTCTTTGTTTAAACTATCAGCCATTAAGAAAGGCATGATGCTAACAATGTATTAGTTTTAAGACATCTCCACTAAATTAGAGAATTAAATAAAAATTATTTTTCTTGTAAATAAACTCAGTAAAATTTAATACTTCAAAAATATGAAATTTTAGGTATATAGTTAACAATTTTTAAATGTCTTTCTTGATTCACTTCCAATATGTAATGCCATCTAAAAACTATATAAAAACACAGCTTTGCATGCACAGAACAAATCATTAATACACTCTTTTTTAGTACGTGTGGTACTACTAAGACAACTCCTTTAATAACTAAACTTTTATGACTTGTCCAGGTAGGTGCTCAAAAGAATTTACTGAATAAAGATGCTCAACATCATTCACTGTTAGACAAATGCAAATTAAAACCATTATGACATACTACCACACACCTACTGGAATGTCTTTTTAAAAAATGTCAGCATCAAATGCTGATGAGGATCAGAGCAACAGACACACTCACTCAAAATGGTCTGGCCACTTTGACAGTCAGTCTGGTCACTGCTTACAAGTCAGAATTTACATTTCTAAACACTTTTCTAACTCTTTAAAAAAATATTTTATTTATTTATTTTTAGGGAGGGAGAAAGAAAAACATCAGTGTGTGGTTGCCTCTCAAGCGCCTCCTACTGGGGACCTGGCCTGCAACCCAGGCATGTGCCCTGACTGGGAATCACACCGGTGACCCTTTGGATTGCAGCCCACACTCAATCCATTGAGCTACACCAGCCAGGGCTCTTCTAATTCTTTTTAAAGGTACAATTAATCTAATATCTCTTTAATGAGGAGATCCTCTAGTTTAACATGGCAATGATGCGATGATCAATGATTACTGTATCGCTGAGGGAAGGTTCATCCATGACATAAAAGACTCAACCTCAGAAGAAATAGTTTCTAGATGGAGCCTGCGACATTAAATATGTCCATGCCATTTTTAAGTGCTGGAGTTCAGGGTCATTTTCACAGATTGTCAACTATTCAGTGAACAAAATCTTTATTTTTTATTACCCTATTTAGGTGTAGACATACTTTAGGGTTACATGTGGAAAGAGACAGAAACGTAGATATTGAAAACAGACAAAGCAAGAAGTCTACGAAACGTTTTAAATAAAACATTAAAATTGATATTCACTGCAGTTTTACTTGTCCAACTTATATAACCAGAAGTGCTTAAGTTATAAACCACATCAAAGAAAATCCATTTCTGAACCTTAGCAACACACACCAGAACAGAGTCGAGGTGACACCTGCTAGTTTAAGATGCATGGAAAGCTGCATGTTATAGGAAGCTGCAATTTGTATAACAGCCACTAGATGGCAGTGAAAACAAATAAATCTGTGCTCATTAAAGCAAATAAACTCTCAAGCTCTGGCCTACAGCCCACCAGAAAACAAATGTTAAGGAAATAAAGATTAAAAATTATTTATAATTTTACTCTTATATTAGTGCGACATTTATAGCCTATGTAACAGTATGAAAAATATAAAGTGTAATAGGAGAATTCAGTCATAATTTAGTATAAGTCAGATAATTTACATTACATTAACTGAAACTTATGTTCACATTAATATGCCACCACTGGCCAAAAATAAAGCTAATCAAATGTCTATTTCCCATGCAGCTGCAATACTGTGACATCAGTGAACTGTTTTCAAATCTAAAACCAGGAATTAAAGAGAAGACAGTAGGGCTCAGTGAACTACGGAAATGGAGAAATGAGGAAGCTCTGAGTCAGACAATTAGATGGTGTCAGATAACATGTTTTCGTGCCTAAGAAACAGTTGTTTATACTACACACAGTACAATACATTTAAAGTCTTTCTTTTCTAATTAAGGAATCAGTGTTTATGTGACTCTTACAATAAAAATATGTGGGAAGTGTGCTATCAATATAAAGGGTTATCAGCTGAACTAAAACCAAGGCAAACATATTTACATTAAAGCAAGGTTCAGTAGACTAACAGTAGTTATTTGGAGCCAAAGTGTTCATTCGTCTCCTTTACATAGTATCTAATATCGTATTTAACTAGACACTGTTACAAAAACTACAAGGTTTAAATATTACACCACATTAGCTCATGCCAACATGATTATAATTTAGTAAATTTGAAGGAAAAAATCTAACTGCCTGCTCATTCACCCACCCACTTCTGAGAGGTTACTTACATCTATTCTTCAGAAGATAAAACAAAGGAAGCAAGAAACCATTTCAAAATGGAAGAAGTTAGTGATTTTCTAGACTCAAAAGTAACTCAATGCATTTCTCATTTTTAAAGTTGGACGTGGTACTTTAAATAAGTAAATTATGCCTTGGTTTTATTATCAACATAAATCATAAATTAAAATGAATTAAATTAGCATTCTATCAAAGAAGGTATGAAAACTTGATAATTTAACTAAGGGCAGAAATTAACCGTATCATAAACTAATAAATTTACTTACATGAATATTAGGTTTCCAAAACATTTTAGCAATTTAAAAGTTTGTTGAGTTTCACAATATTATTTACTGAGTTTACAATGTGCCAACTAGGAATCGAAATAATGACTACAATGCAGCCTTTACTAAGATACCTTAAGTCTACTTTACAAGTCAAATATTAAATTAAGAATTCGGCAAGAGGTTACAAAATGTAAGGGGTTTCTGGGCTTCTAAATACTCACCATTCTCTTAAAAAAAGACATACGCTTTCATACTTAGTGTCTCAAATCACTGTTATAGTTACTGAGAATATTCGCTTTTCCCACCTCTCTTCTGGTTTAAAGACAGTCAAATGAAAGTTTTCTGCCTCAAAAGCAGAATTTATAGTTTCATTCTATATGCTCCTACAATATTGAATAAACCTGTAGCATTTCTCATACAAAACCATATTAAGCTTAAACATGCTTATATATCTCCATACAATCAGAATCTAGCATGATGACTACAATACTTAGTTATCTGATAAGTATTTAATAAATTCCGGGATTTGTATTGTAACATATGATCACACTTAGCTAGCTAGAATTAGGAACAATTTACATTTTTAAGTAAGGAAGACCCATGCTAACAATATTTGCCTTTCTTCACTGTCTGTTGTAATATACACAGCCAACATATGCAAATACATACAGATAGTTTGGAAAGGAAAGACCACTCACTGAAAAATGCCAGCATGAAGATCCCATCATTACCCACTCTGAGCTGGTCTGCATCACTGAAGTCATCTCTTGGTGGACACTCTTCCTCCTGAATCTGTAAAACACATGACATTAGAACAGCTCACTAAATTACAACTTAATACCTTAAATATCAAGATAAGAATTTAAATAAAATCTAATATCCTCAATTTGTTGTATAGTCAAAATACAATAATGTGTACAAACATGTAGGGAGTGTTAATTTTTAAAGGGCACCCTTGAAAAGAGTAACTTCAAAGGTAAAACACAAAAAAGATAAAAGGTGAGTAATACTGAATTAATGAAAATGATATCAAGAAAAGTAGACGTGACATTGTTGCATTAGTGTCAATTGAAAAACAAGAAAGTTCATTATCAATGGTGGAGATACTTATCAAATATAAAAGTGGACACGCACCCTTTGACCCAGCAATTCCAGCTCTCCGAACACACTGTACAGATATACAAGGTCTGTCCTGCAAGTATCCATCCATGTAATATGAAAAATAGACATTTATTGAAGAAGGTATAAGATGCAAGAAATATTATACACAGGACAGTGATGTCTCACAGTGGCCTTCAACATAGACACCTTGGGACCTCATACAGTTCTCCGAGCATCTCTTCCACTGTTCAAAATACTCTGCAAAATTCTCTGTTGGAATCAGTATCAGTTGCCATGCTATATTTTCCTGAATCTCATCCAGAGTCTGAAATCTCTTCATTTTCAAATGTGATTTTAGTTTTGGGAAAAGCCAGAAGTTGTAGGGAGCCAAATCTGAGCTATAGGGCAGCTAAGCGACCTGGGTAATTTGATGTGTCACCAAAATCCTTGGCATAAGATATGATGCACGAGCAGGCACCCTGTCATGATGAAGGTGCTGATCACCAGCTGCCCACAGCTTTGGCCATTTTTGTTGTACTGCATCTCTACACTCTTTGCATGGTCCCTGAAAGCTTTCTCAATCATCTGAATGGTTTCCATGGAGGAGTGTCCAAGCTTAATGCAAAATCTGATGCACGTTCATTGCTCTAATGGCTCAGTTATTTTGAATGTCACTCCACAGTGTCTACTGCCCCCACTGACTAGCACAGTGAAGTCGTCCTTGTTCACACATGCACATCCCAGTCCACTCTCCTCAGCTGCCAGGTTACATGGATGTCACACAAACCATTTTCATTATATTAACAATGGCTGGACTTTTTCCAGGTAAACACACACACACACACTCACTCTCTCTCTCTCTCTCTATATATATATATATACACACACACACACTCCACTTACAAGAAATGTACTAAAGATAATTCCCTGCAGCAACATTAATAAAAGCAAAAGATTAGATGCAACATAAATGCCTATCATAGCGGACTACTGTAAGAGATAATTTTCCATGAGTCTCTTCACGTTTCTGCATGTGTTCCAGGTAGAGGCACTGGGTGCCTTTTCTCTGTACTATCTTTTCAAGGGTGTTTATATGGCGGACTGCTCAGAAAGAGAGGGACAGTGTCTCTGTCCAGAGCAAAGGTGTGGGCGTGCTTACGTGCCATTAGAACACACTGGGTTCACTAGACTCAGGGTTCTGCACTGTGTGGAGGCATCACACAGTGGTCTTTGTGCTGCCCCGTGGGAATCAAGGCTCAGGAAGCTGGTATGAAAAGATGCTAATACTCTGGTTGCAACTATTGATGTAAATAATAAAGTTTGTGTGTCTGACCCAACATTCACAAAACCGACAAGCTAATCAGGCAACTTGAAAGTGGTAAAGTGTCAGATCACCCACAGTTCTTGAGAGACCAATAAAATAAAGTTACTGAATATCTGATGAAATTCAAAAGTAATGTAAAATGTTTTAAAGAAAAAAGAATAAGCATTCTTAATGGTCTCACGATGATCTCCCAAATATATTAAATGAAAATCATTTGTATAGCCCAATGCCTTTTGTTTATAAAAATATACTAAGATATTAACACATTTGCTTGAAAATGTAGGGAACTTCTCTGAAAGTATACACAAAACCTGTCACCACTGACTGTCTCTAATATTCGATGAACACTGACGAAATACCCATTGTACATGAAACTTCTTGGTATGTGGGATACATGAGTGTACATAAAACAAAGATGTCTGCCTTTCATGGACCTATATTCCACTAACGGGAATGAGACAACAAAGACATAACAAATAAGTTCTTTAAAGAGTTATTAAAAGGTGTAAATGCTCTGCAAAAAAAAAGGGACAGTTTCGGAATGCTTGCTTGAGGTTACGGGTGACAGTATTAAGCCTGGTGGTCAAGAGGCCTCACTGAGATGACATTTGAGCACAGGCTTACAGGAGAGGTAAGAGTTAGCTACCCTGATATAAGGAATAAGCGAGTGCCTCACAAGGACGGTACATACAAGGTCCTAAGGATCGTAACTGGTGTGGTGGAGTGATTCGACTACAGTGAGAGAGAGGAGGAAATGGGGTCAGGGAGTCCACTGCAGGACTTTGTTTTACCAAGTGAACTGGGAAGTCTCCGATTTTGCTCAAGTAAGTGGCATGACCTGACAGTACACATCTGCATTATCTCCATGTTACATATACACAACCTCAGTTGGGGGTTGATGGTTCAGTTTTGGGTTCCTACTCAGAGAAGTTAAGGGCCCTGCCCAAGATCATATAATTACTTAAGTCAAGACAAGAGTTAAATCCAGGAAACTGATGTTCTTTTCATCTAATCATGGTAGTTTAACTACATACTTTGCTTTCCTGAAAGAAAATGTTTTTAAAACCATATTGCTTGTGTTTGGGCAAAAAGAGTCCTTAAACTCTGCATTCATATCCAAGGCAATTCTCTTATAGTAAATGCAATGAGTGGCAACAATTAAACACATATTAATAAAGTTTTATATAATCCCAAGTTAATTCAGGAAATAAACATTAAAGTGTAGCATGAACCCTGCCCCCTGATAAACCTGTCAATGTGATGGCAAGGATATAAATATTTCACACTCTTTTGAAACACCAGTGCAGAGATTTTATCATAGAACACCCTTTTTTAAAAGAAGACATGCACAAGGATGTTCCTTTCAAGGTTAAATCAGAAAACACACATACACTTGAAAATAATCTAACTGTTCACTAGAGAGAACTGACCACTAAATTACAGTATATTGATTCCATGGAGTTTTATGCAACCATTAAAATGACAGAAAGATACTCAGAGAAAATGTTTAAAAAATAAAAATGGTGTCTGTATGGTAATTTCAACTACATTAAATACTGATTTATTTAAAAATCCTACAAATGGATAATAAAAAAATACAATAAAAATATATAAATAAAAAATAAAAGTCCTAATATTGGGAAACACACCAAGATATTTTAAAATGAAAGCTGTAACAGAGCGCCTCTGGTATTTTCTTCTTAATTCCCCGCATTGGCCAATGTAAAGAAGCATCGTTAGCTGTCATTTATTAAATACCAGTATGTCCCAGACAATAGCTAAGTGCTGGAAATGTCCTTGTCCTCAAATTGCTCACAATGTATCAAATACTAGTTTTATGGCAAGAGAAAAGTTACAATTTAAAACAAGTTACAAAAACATGAATTCTACCCACTACCAGGTTATAAAATGTAACTGATAAAAACAAGCCATAAAAGTTTTATCAAGTGCTTTGAAATTCATATTTCATATGAATATTAAAAATGAGTTCATTTTCACAAATCTATGTAATTATCCCATAAATATACACCCAACCCTATATATGAAAAATAGAAGAAAATAGAAAAATAATGTCTCCAAGTCTGGCCACTTACTTTTCCTATGAGAGCAGATTCAGGAAATAGGCTTCAGCTCACCCAGATGAGATTCATTTCCAAATGAATACATGGCCTCCTGTCATTTTCACTGTACTTTGCTTTACTGAGTGCTTCACAGATGTCTGTCTATTTGTTTGGTTTTTTAACAAAAATAAAGGCAAGACCCTTCACCAACAGAAATATCATAACTCGCTAAATTGCAACACTTGCTTTATTGCAGTGGTCTGGCACAGAAACTGTACTATCTCCAAGGTCTGCCTACATTCAAGTGCTACTCAGAACTTTTTTTTTTCTTTTTTGATATCTGAATACCCTCGAAAGAAAATAGAATTTTCTTACTCTTTGAGATGTTTCTGCTGCTGCAGCTGCCATTGCAGCAGCTTTTGCTTTCTCAGCTTCATCATATGTAGGAAGAGAGGTAGCAACACTGTAGGGAGGTGGCACAGGATAAAATTCACTGTAAACTTCTGTATCTGAAGAAAACGAATCAAAAAGGATAGCCATTAAAAGGAACTATATGATATTGTATTTATAGCCAAAAGTAAAATTTAATTTACAACAGGCCACTAAAGACTATGACTGCTGTTGTAGTCCAATGTTATAAGGAATATAACACAGAAATTATTATTACAATCATATATATAATTTTAGTCCGATACTATAAAGAAGGGACTGATAAATATTATCTAAAGGCTGATACATAAAACAAGCATCTTAAAAATAAGATTTTGGAAAGGAGTGCAAGATAAGAGGTAAGCAACAGTGCTATTCTCAAATAATTCAATTTACTTGCCCATAATCTCAAGACAGAAATATCAGAAAGTAGAAATATCACAAATAGTAAACACATATAGTATTAACCATTTAACTTGCCATTTCGTAATGTTGGCAACTCGGAGGTTCAAAAAGTTAAGTGATTTTGCCTGCATCACACAACCATGGGTGGCAGAACCCGGGATTACCTGACTACAAAAACTCTGCTCATATAAGAGGTCAATTTTTCTGCATATAAGAGGTTTAATTGTCTACACATGTCAGTTTTCGTAACCATCCTAATCTCATCAGCAAACTCAGTATTTCTCTTTGCTAAAAGATTGATGTTTTAACTCTTGTGTACTCTTGTCTCTTTCTCCTTCCATTTTTCCCACATTGACCTATTTCTTTTTATGAATGATCTCTGATTTTTTAAACTTTTAAAACTATGATCTCCACATACACAATAATGGTAAACAGAGACTGCTTATATTTTTTTAAAAACCGGTTATCACTTATTGCCGACATAAGTCATATAAGTAAAATGATACAGGTCAGTCAGCTGATCAGATTTGGGCCAGAATTACTGACATGAAAAAACAAGAACATTCTAAAAATAGTACATACCACAGTGTTTGACACTACTTCTGTGCTTTCTTCTAACTACAGTGTTAACACTTTCTACCTTGGTTCATAATATTCTCTATCCTTAACAGAATTTCTTGAATTTACAACATGACAACACATTTTTCATTAGCAAAATTTTCCTATTGTGTTTTATGCACACAAGTTTTAAAATAAGCTTTTTAAATTAGTTACTTAAAAGAGCAATGGATCTGAAGTTATTTCTAATCTAATGAGAAAAAGTAGGAGTAACAATATAATACTGAATGTTATCTACCAAAAGTCACAAGAATCACAAATTCTTAGAAAAGACTAATTGTTAGGATGTAAGAACACAATAAATAGTTAAGTAAATAAATTTCTTTAGTTCCAAAACTACAGTAGAAGCAAAATTTAGGTGAAAGTAATAGTTATGAATTTTAAGGCAGTAATAGTAAAATGACTTCTGAAACAGGAATGAAGACCCATTATAAGGATATTAGTGCTTTTATATTAACAACAGATATGTAAGTTTTTGAAAAGTCTTAACATCAAAGATAGAAAAAATATTCCCACCAGAAATAAATGAAAGGTGGGAAGAAACATTAAACTGCAACAGCTCACATTTTCACTTGTTAATTTTACTTATTTTTCCTCTTTTAAGGTGGTGGTTTTCAACCAGGGGATTTAAAGGCTGGGGAGCTCCAGCCCCACCTCCTCCTCCGAGATTATGTCATCTCAACAAATCAGTTCAACACCAAGAGGATCCGCTTCCTAATCAATACAACTGACTCAGCAAGGCTGTTACTTTCCATAATGGGACGAAGCACGCGGGTATTCTAGAGGACTCTGTGTACTACGAAGCACTGTACAAACGTCACCTGTTACTGACAGTGCTCTGAGATGTATGAGAAGGGAATAATCCCCTCAGAAAACTGCACTCCCGTGCGTATGATGTAACAGCGAGGAGGGGATCCATGATGGCAGTGAAGTAGGCTGAAGCTACACTAACCTCTTCCTTAAGACCAAACCAGAATTACAAACAAATTACAGAAAAAAATCATCCTGAATAACCAGTTTAAGACTAGCTTGAAAGAAGCCATCTAACCACGAAACTTATGGAAGAAGCCATGTCACATTCAGACTGGGAGGAAGTGCGGAGGTATGGGAGGGCTGGCTGGGCTCCCACGGGGACAGTTAGTTACGGGGAGATATTTCAGCAGCCACAGGGGTTCCCCCTGAGGAGTGTGGGATCTAAATGCCAACCCAGGTTCCCCAGCCTGGAGCACCAGAACCAGGAAAGGTGCCCACATAACATCCGGCTGTGAAAGCAGCAGGGCTTCTGTCCACCAGGGAAAGATGACTAGAGAATCAGACACCACCATGAAGGACCAACACACAAAATTTCACTTGCATCTATTTACCCTGGGCTTCAGTTAAGGGAGGGCAGAGTGGACTAGAGACACATGAGAGTCTGGGCCTGGTGGCTCTGGGGAGAGGTCTGAGGGTCAGTCAGCTACCAAGATCCTTGTGCTGAAATCATAACCCACACTGCATTAGGCTAAGTGGAATAAGTCAGCCAGAGAGAGACGAATACCACATCACTTCACTCATATGTGGAATCTAATGAACAAAGTGAATGAACAAGCAAAATAAGGAGATGCATGGATAGAGACCAGGCTCACAGCTCTAGAGGTGGGTCGGCAGTGGTGGGTCAAGCAAAAAAGAAAAAGAGCCCTGGCTGCTGTGGCTCAGTGGATTGAGTGCCAGCCTGATAACCAAAGGGTTGCCGGTTCGATTCCCACTCAGAGACATGCCTGGGTGGTGGGCCAGGCCCCTGGTAGAGGGTGCACAGGAAGCAACCCCAAAGTGGTGTTTCTCTCCCTCTCTTTCTCCCTCCATTCCCCTCTCTCTAAAAATAAATCTTTAAAAAAGGAAAAAAGAAAAGGACTCACGGGCGTGGACAACAGTGTGGTGATTGTGGGGGGAAGGAGTGAAAGGAGGGGTCAGAGGCAGAAGAGGGTGGGTACAAGAGGAATAAATGGTAATGGAAAAAATACCTAAATAAATAAATAAAGAATGACTCAGACCCTAAAAAAATCTACACCAGCAGTTTTCACTAAACAAAGATACAAAATTCTAGAAATACTCAGTTCTTGTACTCCATTATAGTTATAAATGGCCTGTTAGCACAGTTGTAGAAAATAACGCAGTAATCGGGGAAGATTCTAAGAATAACTGAACATCTAGGTACTAGGCTTAACTTGTTTTACAGTAAGAATTTATTTAACACTACAAATGTCATGCTAAATTTTCAGATAATAGAAAAATGAGACCCTTCTGAATTCATTTTATGTTGCTTCCATAATATTAAAAGAAAAATCATACATATGGTACATAAAGTTACAGATCCCACTAACAAAGCTGCAAAAACATTAAATAAAACATTAATGAATCTATATCCAAAAGAGACTAGAATATGAAGACAAAAAGAATTTACTCCAGGAATACAGAGGTGGATTAAAAAAGAAATCTATTAATAACATACTTCATTACATCAAAAATGAAGGAGAAAAAGTCCAACTTTATGATAAGGTCCAAAAAAAATAACTCCAAGGTTTCCGACCTGCTGGAGACACTCACTGAAACGAGGAAGACCATCGAGGACAATTCTGGTGCTGGAGGCACAGGCCCCAGGCAGGTGTGGTGCATTTAAACATTAGCCTATCATCTGAAACGCCTCCATACACAGGAGGAGACATTTCTCAAGGGTCTTGAATAAGGAATAAATTTAGGGACTCATGTCCAACAAGCCAAATGTGGCAAATGTGACACTGTGACTCTTGAGGCAATGTCATAAAAGGTGATTTAGCTTCCATCGGGCTGTCTCTCATAATGCTTGTTCTTGGAGCCCAGACTCTACCCAGCGAGGAAGCCCAGGCACACAAGGCCGGTAGAGGTGAGGGGAGAAGCCTCATCGGGGGCCCGAGGCGAAGCCCCAGTCAACTGTCAATCACGTGAATGGGAAAGCCTGCAGGACACCTCCAGACCCGGGCGCCATCAGATGAAAATCACATGGGACCCTGAGAGAAAACTGCATAGAGCCCAGTCTACCCTCAGAACATGAGCATTAATAATAGTAAATGATTGTCATTTTACTCCAGGAACTCTGAGGTGTTTTGGTACACAGCGTAGCAATGGTAGTCACAACAAAGAGACTACGATTTCACTTTTAGTGTCTTCCATCATTCATATACATCAAGATTTAATAGATTTTTAAAAAAATCTAGGATAGTAAATTCACTGTACTATATACACTGGAAACTTGTAAAATAATGAAGAAGGGTTAGCCCATAATAAATTTTAGAAAGCACCAATCTAGCTGTTAAATCTTATGGCCAAATAAAATTGATATAAATCAATATAAAAACTGCATCAAACTGGGTGCTGAATAAGCACATTAATCAAGTAATATTATACACAAACAGGAGTGAGCCTTTATTAATTTAATTAGTGAGAATACCTACGTGAAGATCATCTTCACTAATTACACGAAGACCCAAACAAATGTGGTGTAAAAAATACTGGGTCTCTGACACATCCCATGTGGCAGATGAAATCTGGACAAGCAAAAACGATGACCAGAGAAAGCTAGCATGAGTGTGAGAGAGGAAGATGACACCCCAGAGCAAGAGATCAGAAAGATGATACACTGTGATGGAAGTTTTTACATTAAAATGTTTTCCAATAACTGATTTTTACAATATTTCATAATAAACAAATAAAACATTTAGAGGTTATTTAAAATAGTGTACAAGATCAGAATTAAAACACTATAGTGATTAAAGTAGTGTGTTTTAGAGAAATAGATGAGGGTAGCTCTTTGGAATGACTGAAGGATGAGCAAGTAGCAAGCAGGAATCACTGCCTCGTGTCCAAGAATTACTACCATGTGTATGGGATATATCACATTCGCACCCTATACCACATTCTCACACCCACCAAGAACACCTTATTTTGTGACTATGTAAGTAAATACACACACGTATATATGTATGTGTGCATGTGCACAAAACCATGCTGGTAAAAAACAAAGGAGCAGAAGCCTGCACTACTAAAACTCCTGCTGGCCGTTTCAGAATAAACCCAGTACCTGAAGTCGTCGGGACTTCCACGGTGATGCTACTGTAGGGCGGCGGAGAGGAGTCTGTTTCGGGCACCGGAGCCGCAGGGACGGTCCGCACGGTCTGTGGCGTCGGGGCCGAGGCCGACGGCTGCTCCACAGCAGGTGACTCTGAATTATCCTCTTCATTGTGAAGCTAAGAGACAAGGATACAAGAAATATTCATGTGGTTCTACTTTTTTAAAGTTTACACTCATTTTTAAAGATTGTTTCGGACAAAGGATCATGTTTTAGCTGTAAAGAAAGTAAAACAGCATTTAAAAAGATGAACAAAAAATTTTAGAGAGACCTAATCAGTCACTAAGAACTTTAGAATTTTTAGTTTCTTTACAAAGTGAAGTTCAAATTGTTAAGAATTTATAAAGAAAAAAATAGTCATAATTACAATAGATTCTGATTAAGTCAGTCCCAAGTAAATACTGCCTACCATACATCAATCACTGTCTATTACACAAAGTCAAACCCTAATGATACAACCACCATACCAAGTAGGCACGAGATGCCCTGGCTCCTGACCGGGCAGTGCTCAGCCCTGGTGTCACAAAGCGGCTCCCATGCTTCCCACTACAAGGGACCCAGGAGAAGTCCTGATTTAGTCATCTATAGTGATACTTTTAGAAGGAAAATGTTAGATGAGCAAGAAAAGGCAAATAAAAGTAGCGTACAGATAGACACTAAGCAGTAGCAACTAAAACAAGTAACAGTAAAGGTGTCAAAAAGAGTAAAGCGCTTTTCCAAACTACCATTAATGCTGCAAATGCAGATGAATTATGCTAAAGAGAAAAGTCCTGTATCACCAAACAGCTCTCTTCTAGTTCCTCACACGTTAACGTCCTTAATACATGAATGTGCTCCCCAGAAGGACCTGCTCATTTTTAAAGCCTGTCATGATTTATTCAAATAACTAAAGTAATTACAGGTACTTTTGCAGAAGATCTCTGAAACAAAGGTCTGGAACTAGTAGAACATACCAATTTATTTCAACTGCTCTACCTAAACCTTCAGTTTCATTTTTACAAAATTATAATTGATAGTGAACATTTGATACATGCCAACAGTAAAACCCAGTAACTAAGTCAACAGTCTCCAGCACTATAGCACAGACCTTCCATATTCACTTTTTCATTCACTCAAAAGTGTATTTATTCTCTTCATTCGGTATTATTTTGTATTAATGTCAGGTATACAGCATTGTGGTTAGACAATCACCTTACAAATATTTCCCCCAATATTTCTAGTACCCCCCGGTACCATACACAGAAATTACAATATTAGTGACTATACTCCCTATGCAGTACTTCACATCCCGTGACTGTTTTAAAACTACCAATCTGTACTTCTCCATCCCTTCACCTTTTTTGCCTAGCCCCAACCTCCACCCCACCCCTCTGGCAAGCATTAGTATGTTCTCCGTATCTATGAGTCTGTTTCTGTTTTGTTTGTGCGTTTATATTGTTCTTTAGGTTCCACATATAAGTGAAATCATATGGTACTTGTCCTTCTCTGGCTGACATTTCACTGAACATAATTCCCTCCAAGTCCATCTGTGCTATATCACAAATGGTTAAGTTTCACTGTCTTTCAATGCGTCAGTTCCCTTCAAAGTAGGCTCCTTGGGACCTCACATACTTCTCCCAATCACCATCAGTTGCCCTGTTGTATTTTCCTGAGTCTCATTAATAGTCAGAAATCACTTCCCTTTCAAAGGTGATTTTAATTTTGGGAAAAGCCAGAAGTCACAGGGCACCAAATCTAGGCTGCAGGGGGGCTGAGTCACCTCGGTGATTTGATGTTTCATCAAAAAACTCTGTAGGAGACATAATGCATGAGCGGGCATGTTTCATGATGGAGTGGCCAATCACTAGTTGTCCATAGATAGCTGCAGCCTTTGGAATTATCCGAATAGTTCCCATGGAGGAATATTCAAACTTAATGCAAAATTTGATGCATATTTGTTGCTCTGCTCACTCAGTCATCTTGAATGTGACAGCCACACAGTACACATGCTCACTCAACAGCATCTACCACCCCCACTGACTAGTACATTGAAGTTGTCACTGTTCACACATGTGCATTCCAATCTACTCTCCTTGGCTGCCAGGTTATATCGATGTCATGCAAACCATTCTCGTTACATTAACAATGGCTGGATTTTTCTGGACAGACCTTCATATATGGTCTCTGACTAATCCCTTTACTTTCTGACTCTATTTAATACCAAAGGACATAACTGGGAAGTTATATTTGCAAAGAGATCTGTTTAAGCTCAACAAAAGAACTTCTTTAATTTTTAAATTAGAACTTTGTCGTAATTAGAACGCTAGTATGTGTGGGTAGGACAACAATACTTTAGGAAGACCTTGGACGATTATCTAGCAAGGCTAGTGTATAACTAGGAGGACCACACACCTGTGTATCCCCGGACAGTCCCACTTCACACATACTGCTGCAGGGCCCCCTCAATTTAACGTTCTCTCCACCCCTCTCATTCTCAAAAGCAGGAGTCCCCAACCCCTGCGCATGGACTGGGGCCACACAGCAGGAGGTGAGTGGGGAAGGCAAGCAAAGCTTCACCTGTATTTCCAGGAGCTCCCCATGGCTCCCATTACTGCCTGAGCTCCGCCTCCCTCCCATCAGATCAATGGCAACATTAGATTCTCATAGGAGCGAGAACCCTACTGTTCGCTTTGCAGTTCACCCTCGAACCCGCCTGAACTGCAAGGCGAGGGACCTAGGGTGCGTGATCCTTATGAGAATAATGCTGATGATCTGAGGCGGGGCTGAGGCGGTGATGCTGGCACTGGGGAGCGGCTGCAAATGCAGATCATCATTAGCAGGGAGGTTCAACTGAACAGAGACCCTAGTAAATCAATCGCTTACAGACTCATACGGTGAGTGGCAAGTGACAATTAAGCCTCATCTGGTGACAGGCTTTATTGTGGCAAGTGAGTTGATACACTTAAACTGTACTGCTGCATCTGGTGGCAGACTTTAACTCAGAATCTGACACTTATTTCAGTCCGCACGTGTCCTGCCCGTTATTTTACTTATCACTTCTGCCTGCACACTTGTCTCAGTCACTGTTTTGGTGAGCCCACATGACAACCCTAGCCAGCCAAAAGGAGTAAAAAACAAATGTCACTGAAGAGCTTCTCTGCAAAGGGGAAAGACCCAATGATGAGATACCAGAAGAATCTAAGACTGCCACAAAAAGAAAGGTGTACTTAAAAGAAAATACTAAGAATTCTACTTAAATTACAGGATCATTGCAACAGGTGATTCACATTCTCCAAGCATGCTATTTATAATATGTGGCAACCAGCTATCCATCAAAGCCATGAAACTCCTTCACCGCATGGTAACCAAGCACCCTGCAATAAAAAAGAAGCCTTTGGACTTTAAAAAAACAAACAAACAAACGTGAACATAAAGAACAGAAGCAATTATTGAAGGCCGCCATTTCACCAAATGCGTCTGCACAGAGAGCACCATTCTTAGTTAACCATGTCGCTAAAGCTAAGCAGTCCTACACTACTGGTCAAGAGTTGATCCTACCTCATGCTAAGGACATGTGTCGCAGACTTTTAGGACAGGCTACAGTTCAAAGGGTGGCATGTGTTCCTCTTTCAGCTTGCACCGTAACTAGATGAACTGATGAAAAGCAGAGGATACTGAGGCACGATTGTCAGAGGATTAATGAGTCACTGTGACACGCAATCCAGGGTGACGAGTCTACTGATGTTGACAACAGGGCAACGATGCTTGTTTTTTAAACTGGAATTACAGGGGTGACAAGAGAACACTGGGAATTCTGACCTGTTTCAAATATCAGCAGACACTTTGAGACTGAGCCAGGACCTTCCTTCTCCCAGCTGGTATGTGATCTCCCATCTCAGCTTTCTTTAAAAATAAATAAAATCTTAAAAAAAAAAAACCAAAGATATTAAGAGAGATGATAATTAAGCAGTATCTAGTACAGTATCTAGTTATGAACTGGATTCTGCTCTTAAAAGGGAGGGTTCTTTACTATAAAAGGCATAAGTAGAAAAAGTGACGAAATATGTTTCTAGTTTACAATGGTCCGTGTTATTTACTTTGATAACTGCACTGTACTTTGAGAAAATGTCTTTGTTTTTAGAAAACATACACTGAAATATTTAGACGTAAAGGGATAACATGTCTGCCACTTACTTTCAGACGTTTCAGAAAAAAATCAAGTGTGACCTTGGCCAGGTGGCTCAGCCGGCTCAGCTGCAGGCTCCAGGGTCTGATTCCTCGTCAGGGCACATTCCTAAGTTATGAGTTCAATACTGGGTCGGGACTCATGCAGGAGGCAACCAACTAATGTTTCTCTCTGACATCGATGTGTATGTGTTCGTCTCTGCACCCCACTCCCTCTCTAAAATTAATAAAAACATATCCTCAAGTGAGGGTAAAAAAATTTTAGTATATATGTAGTATGTATGCATGTATATATACTACATATGTATATAGTGTATGTGGGGGAAAGAGAATGAATCACAAAGCAAATGTGATAAAATGTCAACATTTAAGGAAACTGAGTGAATACTATATATGAATTCTTTACTATTTTCCCCACACTTTTTTATAAGTCTAAAATTATTTTAAAGTTAAAGCAAAAATAAAATATATGGTAAGGAAATAGAAAAATATATTGTATAAAAGCGGATAACTGAAAATGCTACAATCCCGCTTCTAACAAGTTCCACTCTATTGCTTAGTGGAAGCCCAACATGATCATTAAAAACCTGTACACCTTCAGTCACTTTTCAAGTTGATTTTTCCACTTTTAATCAAAATCCAGTTTTCCTTGGATGGCTCACTACACTCCACAAATGCCTCTCAAACAAGAATGTTAATCCTTGCAGAAAGCCCCCCTTATCTGGGAACAAGAAAACAAGGAAGATTTTCTTGAAGTTGCTGATTCTAGATCAAGAGCCTCCCTTTAGTTCACACTGTCTATACAGCCTTCCAGACCCACTCTCACCCTGATCTGATTACTATTTGCAAGGGTTCAAACAATCCCCAGTGAAGAAGACCTACGAGCCAGCTCCATACCCCCAATATTACCTCCTCTAATCTAAATCCTACTATATATAATACAAGATGGATAAG